TTCTAAATAACTACCATTATTAACCTAATTAAGTTTAATAAAAACGAATTATAATTTAAAGTTATATTTTTGCTGTTGATAAATAATTTTAATGATTTTCAGTTTTTTCAAAAATATCAAAACCAAATTTTTAATAATAAGTATACTTGAAGAAATGTGATTAGTACTATCTTATAAATATATATTTTAGATTCTATGTAAGTCACAGGAATTGTATTAAATATAAGTAGGTACACTGATTTTATTGAATTTTTAAATTGAAAATCCAATTATATTTTAGTTTTTTTAAACATAAATAAACAAACTATAATTGTTTACAAGACTTGTATTTTTAATAGATTAATATACAAATAATTAGCACCAAATATTTAAACTACTGTTCATATTTTAATTTATAAATAGTAAATAAGTGTCACACACAATATTAACTATTCGACTTTAATCTAGATAAATACATTTATGTATAATAAGTTAAATAATAATTACCTATAGCAGTATTATAGTTATACATAAGTAGCTATTATATAACTGTAAAAAATCAATATCTACTTTTAATTTATATGAAAAGTCAACATGTTAGTAAATAAGTTTCTTTTTAGTTTTTACCAATATTTATATTATATGCACTAATCATAGATAAAATATTAGTATTATGTTATAAATTAATAATAATAATAATAATAAATTATTAGCTTAAAATATAAATTATATCATCATGATTAATTATTAATAATATAACAAAATTAAATAAATGTAAAATATTACAAATAAAAAAAAAAGTGTTAAATATTTTATTTTCACTTTTAATTGAATCAAAATCAATTGGTCAAAAATATTTTTAGGAATTTTCTATTAATTTAAATTTGATATATTATATTTAGGTTGTACCACTTTTACTATTGTAGGAAATATGAGATACTATAAGTGCATTAAATAAATTAGTAATTTAAGTTGTAACCAGAGTTGTAACTTAATATTCGGCTTGTCTGGTATAACTTATAGGTCATGCAAACATCAAAAGAAATAATAAAATTAATATAGATTACACTTTTTTTTTAAACAAATTACATAATTGGTAAGTTAATCTACCATTTAAATTTTGATTAAAAACTTAAAAACATTAATAATGGCTTAAGTATAGGTCTAAATGTAATAAAATTGAGTATAAAAAAATATTTCATAGTAATAGTTGATATTATTTTTTTTTTACATAAAACCAAATCCCATCATGAACTACAGTTTATAAACAATTAAAGCATACAATACTAAGCATGTAGATTTTATTAAGAAAGACTGCAATAAAAAAAATAATTTAAAAACTAGTGAGCATTTAATATTCTATTAAAATCTAGTTGTTATTACTAATTACCAGTAAGTTACCATTGGTACATAATGCATATATTCAACTCATATAACACAACTTTTTACTAAGTTTAAATATTGTAAAAATGTAATGATAATTTTTTCAATAAATTTTAAAAATATAAAATATTATATGATATGTACTTAAAAAATAGTTTTTAAATATTTATGGCATTAAATACTCATAAGTACATAACTAATATATATATATATATATATATATACATACATCACATAATGTTTAATATATTTTACCACATAGTGTTAATAGCATAATTTTAACATAGATAACATAGGTATATACAGAATACAATTACTTAGGTATTTTAATTCAAAATAAAGTAAAACAAATGGTACCAATCAAAAATTCTATGTCCGTAGTTATGTTGATTGTGAATATTTTAAAAACAATTCTTGTGATATTTCATAACACACTGATTAATATAATAAAATATAAATTTTAACTTAACATAGATAATCAATTTAAAAATATATGGTAAATTATTATTATATAGAAATTAGGTTATACCGACATACCTATGTACTTTTTAAAAGTATCTACAAATAAAAAAATCTAGGTTTGTACTACAAAGGTAATAAAACAATGTTATGTTATATGAATAATCTTTCATCAATTTTTTCTCTAGCTTCAATGTTAAAATTAAAGGAATTCTATTAAATTAACAGTGTTATTCAAATTTGAGAAAGTAAGCAGAATGAATAACATATAATTTTTACAATTTATTTTAATTTAAACATACGCTACATTAAAAAAAAAAAAAAGTGCTTACATTTTATACGTATCCAAACTAATTAAAAATTAAATACATGTGGTAATTGATAAAAAAAAAAATCAATAAATAGAAACTTAAAGAAAACTGAAAAAATGTCAACATTTATCTTTCAGAAATTAGTAACAAAAAACTCAATTCTTTAATATTTATAATAAATGAAATAATGATATAAATATGTAACAAGTGCATATTAAAAGAAGCCTGCTTCTATAAACATAAATACTACTCTAGTAAACTATTAAAAACTATTCAATAATGTTATAAAATAAATGATTTATCATTAAAATCTAAATTAATTAATTGTAAATTTCAATTTATTTTTATTTTTATCTTTATAATAGATTTTTGCTATAAAGTAATTCCATAAAATATTTAAATTATTGGAAATATGATAATTATTAATTATTGATCATTGTTAATTTGGTAAAATTTCATTATAATTCATTATGCAATTACAATTGTTTTATAAAAGTAGTCAAGAAATATGAAAAACTATATAATACACTTAACATTTTCTATTCAATCTTATTCTTATGTAAAATAATATGCAAATACTTAGCTTAATTTGTAATCAATTTATTTTAAAAGAAGGTAGGCAGGTGGGTATCGCTCTGCTGTATATTACTTAAACTATAGAGTGAAACTAGTTAATAAGTAAATTGCTATGATGGATTTTGTTAAATTTAAATTCAACGATAATCTATCGTGTAGAAAGAAAAAAACTCAAACAAAAACTGTCTATATTTTGGTAACCATGGATACGAAACAATTATTTCAATAATAATAATATTGGGTTTGTGTAAAGATTCCCATTATTTCTTTCTAAATAAAAAGATAAAAAAAAAGTACGGCACATTTTTATCCTAATCTCTCTAACTAGAGTATTAACTAGATCCAATTTACTATCTAAAACTGTATTCAAAGTGAAAGTTGAAGCATTTTATCAATTATTTATCATGTACACACACAATGAAAAACACACATAATTGTAAAATCAATACATCAATTGCTCTGCTCAGAATCTAATATATATATATATACCTATATATATGTATAGTGCATGCATATCCATTAAAATAAGTCTAATTAAAGTCCTGGTTAGTACATTACATTTTAATAACCTTAGTGGTTTTGATATTTAATGTTTATTAAAAGTTAATTTTTAACTAATATTTCAAAAAGATAAACAGATACTCCTTTAATGCATTATATAGGTATATAAACTAATAAAGGATTATGATCAATAATTAACCAATAATAATAATCAAATATATCCAAGTGTTAAAAACCAATGCTATAACAAAAACCTATAGCCTATTTTTCCATTATCTTAAATAAAACCAATCTTAATTCTGTTACCTTGACTAATGCTTGATGCAAAAAGCCAAGACTACTTGTTTGATAATAGTAAATTGTCTTTTTTGAAAAATATTTGAATATGAATCATAACACAATAGTAAATTAGAATATTTAAATGTATAAACTATGTACAATAGTTATGGCAAAAAAAATAAGAATATAAAAATGTAGATCCTAGTCCTATGTGTTTTCAAATAAAAAAAAAATACTGGAAAAGCAATATCACAACAGTGGTCATTTAAAGACATTTGTCACACGCCATTTATTTTGTAAGTGTACAAAACTTATAACAAACCAAGTGATAATCAAAATAATAAAAAAGTATCACTTTGATAATTAGTATTAAAGTAAGAAGGTGCTAATGAGACAAGGTAATCTAATTTGCTTAGGTATATCAGCAGTATTTAATAGTTGTACTAAATGACTATTATAATTTATAACATATTTTATTAAATAAAATATAAATAAATAAATCAACTGTTGAGAAATTTTCAATATAATAATTTGTATTTGAAACCAATATCAACGCTATGTAAAGAATGTTCATTTTTTTATTTTTATAGTTTGCATTTTTAAAACATAATATATTATAAAATGTCTGTAAAAACGATCAACTAAGTATTATAGAGAACAAATATGAACTAGAAAATTCTTCATACCTAAAAATGTTAATAATCAAAAAGTCATATAGCTTAGGACTCTGAGAAAGACATTTAAAAAGATTAACAACTAAATATTATCTAATATAGTTAAGTATATAAAATATAAGCTAGATACTAGCTGTCTAGTAGTTTTTCCCACCATTTAATTTTATTCAAATAGATATTTATGATAGACTATATTTATTTTATTTGAGGGTAAGAATAATAAAATTAAAAATTCTTTAAAATATATAATCATATAATATTGTGTTACCACCTCAAACAATTGATAGATGTAATATAAAAAAATAAATAAATATATTAAAAGTGTTTATGTTTATGTTTGTGTTGGGGAACAAAATAATAAGATTCATTTTGATTTATAAAAACTTATAAACAGTGGCACAGATTCACAGAAGCAGATGGAGCATTTGTCCTCTCCCTCCCTCAAAATAAAAATAATTGGGTGGTAGGTATGTATATATATATATAGTGGATCCCCAATAGCTGGTAGAGATTATGTACTTATTTAATTATATTTTAAATGTAATATTAAATAATTAATTCATGAATTGGTAAATATTTTTAAAATTGTAGATGATTAATAATGATAGGTACCTAGGTGTAGGCTGGTAAATTTCTAGGTTTGGCCCCCATAAACTAAAATAAAATGATTAATCACTACCTGCAAGTAGTAAGTACATATGACATAGGTTAAGTACTTAAATTAATTTGAATGCATTATAGTTTTCCCGTGTAAGCATCTACCAAAAATATACATATTACTATTATTCCCTGGAATTATACTGATCATTGTAAAAAAAAATTAAGAAAACATACATACCATTGAATGGCCAAATATGTGCAGGTAACGAATGAGCCGAGTAAACGCGTCCAAGACTAATATTAGCAGTGACCGTAGGACTGTCCAAGTTCTGGTCGTCATTTGAGCTGCTGTCAGCCTCCAAGACATCTGTAATATCGAACCGTGGACTCGTCGAGTTACTATTGTTGTCATGACCGTTTGGCACACCGGACAGAGACCTGGCACGCTGTCTGTCATTGGTTACGGCGCTAGGCAGGGAACGCAAAATACTAAACCCAGGGTTGCTAGCCGTCTGCACGGAATCCGGCCCGTTACCAGAAGAGAACGACCGGTGATCGCCATGACTGGCGCCGCCGTCATCGCCGTTGGCCGTGCTGGCCTTCGCTCCCATTTTGCATGCAACGAACGTTCACGCGAACACCTCTTCAGGACGACGCGGACGAACACGGACGGCGGAACTTTATTTATGATTTGTCACGCGCGTTATACTATGAGCGAACAACCACCGTAAGAAGACGTTCCGTCAAGCGGACAACGACGTCCGGAACATCCGACATCGATCGCAGTACCAAAAACCAACTGCGGACGTGTACTGCTTTTGGCACACTTCAAGTTGCACCAAACGATCAGAATCCACTTAGAACTGCGCACAGAGAACCAAACTCGACAGTTCTATGGTATGAGAACGAAAACAAAGAAAATTAATAATAATGATATGATAATAATAAATAATAATAACAATATCACGAAAAATTTAAAATACGACGATGGCGATTGTCTTAACGTAATTACTATGATAATATCAATTAATTATTTATTTGTCATTTCGATCATTATTTTATATTATATTTTGTTTCTTCTGCCCTAGCTTTTCGTTCGTCGTCTCTCTGATACTAGTTTGGTGGTCTGGTCTAATGTCGTCGCGCAGTTACAAATTGGTAGTTCTGATAATGATGATAACATGGTCAACTGGTGAAGTAAAAAATAAATAACAAGTCCAGACGTATAACATTATAACATAGAGACGAGGGAAGGGATTTCCTGATCAGCTGTTCTCGACGTAATAATTATAAAAATATTATTTAACATTAACATATCGAAGTGTGTGGTGGCGGTCGTCTCCGTCGTATAAATGTTATATAAAAATATAAAGGCCTAAGATCCGATTACGATCGTACAGACACACTACACAAAATAAAATGGATAGATATAATAAGCATTTTGATGATAACATGACAAACATGAAACAACCCACCGCGTCTACTGTAATGCCAATTATTATTGCGATACCTACCTAGTACCTACCTACCTAATATATTGCAGCACTAAACGTAATTTACGTTCTACAATTCGACACATCCACATATCTATATTAAATGCGTATTACTATACTTTAAACCTATAGACTCCGAGTAAACAACGGAGCTAGTGCAGTAGTACCCACTGCATTTGCTTTTACAAAATAGCGCACTTTTTAGGTTTATATTTTTTTTTTCATTTTCAAAAAATGTTTTTACACATTCAATAAAAAATCATATTTTACCTGTTCAAATACTAAACGTGTAATAAAATTAATCAATTATATATTTTTTTAAATATTTTTATTAAGAATTAAAAAGTTTTCAACATTTTAAATTTCATGTTAGTTAAATGTTACGTTATTATTATAAGTACTTACCAGGGACGTAGCCAGGGGAGAGGTCCATGGGGTCCGGACCTCCGGACCCCCCCCACGAGATATCGATAATAATATTTTCCTTTATACTTTTATATATAGAAAAAATTACTCTCATACAAACCAAACCACATAATAACCGCTTGTCTGCGTAGATAAGAATTTACACAATATTAATACCTACCTACCTAATATAAGATAAATTTGTAAATATAATAATCATGGTTGTCCTTTATCAAATAACTAGATACTAAATTTTATCTTTTATTAAAACACTAGTAAAAAAAAATTTAATATAAATCAAATATATAAATATATACAATGTATATTATACATATATATATTTATATTTTTTTTATTTAAATTTTCTCTTTTTTTTTTTTTACTTTAAAAAGAGTAAAAACACTACTTCGAAATCAAATTGGAAATGACTGTTTAACAGGCTGACTTTTTTATCCGTTCACCAGAAGACGTGTTAGATATAATTACAAAATTAAAAAATTATTATTATTAATATAATTTGTACTAACATTTATTTATTTATTTTTTATTTATTATTATTTACTAACAATAATTATTACTTTTGAATTTTGATGCTACAATAATTTGATTTTTACTTCAATAATAAGAATTTTTAAACCTACTCATTATTTTTTTTTACTTGACCCCCTCCGAAACAAAATTCTGGCTACGTCCCTGGTACCTACCTAAATATGTTATGATTTATACTTATAAATGCAATATCCGTAATTAGTGACAGGGAAATTTAACTGCAAAAATTAGAAAATTTTTTGGGAAAATTGTTGTCGAGGTTAATATTAGATACCAGCTACTTACTATATTAAGCTTCAATTGTTCAAACACCTATTGGTTATTAGGTAATAAATTTGAAGAGAAGAATATTAAATAAATTGTTATTAAGATTGTATAATTAAATCATAATGTTTTTATAAATTATATTAGGTATCTAATGATTAATGAAGTTACAGCGTCATATTTTTTCTTATAAGAATACTATTATTATTATAATATATACATGTGTATTATGAGTATGATGTAAGTAGGGGTATTTTGAACTATTTTTAAGAAGAAATCCAGAGATTTATTTGCTTATTATCAAAACTCAAAAATTGTTGTCTTAAATAATTAATAAAAAAGTAATGAATAATATCATTGATATCCTACATTCCTACTTAAACGAAGGTTTAAACTATGTCTAAGCAATAATTTTAAATTAAAAAATACGTATAAATATATTTATGGAAGATAATAAACAATTTTAACTATCTATGTAAATACCTATTAAAAGACAACTAAGTATAATACAAATATGAATATGATCACTTAACTATTATTAATAATTTTAATTATCTAGTGGCTGATACCATTGATTTTAGAATATAAAAAATAGTATACCTACTAGTATATTCTAAAATCAATACCTAGTTTGGAGTCTCAATGTACATGCATTAATAATTCATATACAATTTTATTATTAGTAGTATAATCAGCAAAAAGTGTGAAAAAAATACATAAATAGAAAACCAAAATATTTTTGAAAAGCTACACGATTTCCGAGGAACCTTACTCACTCTGAAAGGGAGCCACTAGGTACTAGATTCTAGATTACTACTATTACATAGTATTACATACTTGGACCATCAAAACATTTTCGCTGAACGGCTGGACTGCTTGAACTATACAATTTATAGTACACAGATTACAAAAGAAATATGAGATTATTTCAAGAATATACTCTTCTACAGATTTTTTTAATAGTAGATTTTTATAAATTCGAATAAAAAACCTTGATGCTAAAACTTTGATTTGGTGTAGTAAAATGTTGCTAAAATGTACCATATCTTATTCTAAATAGTACATTTTATTCAAGAAAAATATACCTACTAAACAATACTAATACATAATAGGTAGGTACCATTTTTACACAATAAACAAAGTTTAAAAAATCGTAAGTTACAACAATTACAAGAGACTATTCGATATTTTTTTAATTTTTTATTGAGTTAGTTTTGACATTATTTAAATAATTTTATTACCTACATTACCTATTGTACATCTTACTTTATAAATTTAATCTCATAGGCTATGAGCCATAGCTCCCTAAAAATGTACTAACACAAATAATGATGTTTTTACCTTTAAGTTAGGTACTAGATCAATTCATAATCTATCTACGTTTAGTGAAATTTATAAAGTTAATATAATGTTAATTTTGGTGTTGAACATTTTAAACACAGAGTTATAACTTATAACATAATACTCGGACGTATTGCTTTTTTCAATGTCTCAATATTTTAGTCTGTTGATAATAATCAGTGATTATTTATCACTATATTCCAGAGCCGTGAAAAACAATTAAGCGACCTGGGGCAACATTTTTTCTCACCCCCCATCCACCTTACGATTTATCTACTAATTGTTTTCTTCATGAATAAATCTCTATAGGACAACATATTAGTATATTACCAAACACCACGAAGAATTTTCTATAGCTGCCCACAATTTTGTTTTTTTATCATTATCATAATGTTTAAAAATAAACGATCAAGGCTAATAATGACAATAATAATAATAAATTACAGTCAAACTTGGTTAACTCGAAGTTGAAAGAACCAGAAAAAAGTTCGAGTTATTCAAATTGAAAATTTTTAAAACAGTAAAAATATATTAATTCCTATATATTTATTATGAATAAAATAATGTAATAAAAAATATTTACTTTGTATTTATTTATGAATTATGTATATGTAATTTTAAAGAGGTATGTACCTATGTATAAATAAAAATGAGGTTAGAAAATTATTTCAAAAAGGTATTTATTTTTGTTTAAGTTTTGCTGTTGATCGCAGCATTTGTAATGAATTGTTTTAAGCTATTTATCGGTAACAATAACACTAATGAGTAATGACCTTATTTTCGATATTAAAATGTATACATAGGGACACGAGAAAAATATTACAATTTTAAAATATTAATAAAACTCAAAACTTTAAGTTACCCACGAAAATATTTGAATTAAATAAGATTTTTTTACATTGTTTAAACAGGAAATTCTAGAGGCCGGAGAAAAAGTTCGAGGTATCGATGATTTCGAGTTAAAGAAGTTCGACTGTATTTGGAAATAAAACGTAATATATAGGGGCATAGGGCCCGGAACTTGGTGCATTTGCATCTTTTTCTTAATGTGTATACGAAGCTTGTTTTTACAGAAACGTGGTTTATATTATGTAAAATTCAATGAAACCATTTAAATTTGGCATTTTTTGGTAATCTTTTTAGTGATTATGATGCATTTTTTTTTTAGATATATTTGCATTTTTTACATTTTTTTTTCATTTTGACAAAACTAAATATTTGAAAAAACTAATGTATTGTACACCCCAATCCTTCAATTAATTTTCTAAAAATATCAATTTTTTTTTTTGTAATTATTTTGTAAAACTAACATTATTTTGTAACTCTATTTTAAATTTAATTTAGGCCCTGTATTTGTTAACATATATATATTTAATGTATAAAAATATTAGCATTGTTTAAATTAAGATGAATAAAATAATAAATGAATAATTAAAAAAATATTAATGTAAAAACCATGATTTTTTGATGATTTATTATCAAAAAAATGTAATTTTTGAAATTTCTATGTTATGTTTTGGTATTTTTAGATGTTTAAAAGTAATTTTAATACTTCTTTTGACTGTATTTTTAAAGATTTTTATGTCATCAAGTTCCGGGCCTTATTAATATGTATATATTATATAAGTATAAGTATTATTAATATCAGTTTAAAAATATTTAGTTATATTTAACAATAATATCCTAATACCTATAGAGAAAGGGGTATTTCTTTTAGTCCGTTATCGCTATACTAATTTGTTTGGCACCGATTGTACTATAAATGCATAATTCTGAAATAGACCTTATAATACGATTAAATATATTTTATAAGCCCATGGTTCAATATTTTATCGTAGTAGTTCGTAATATCTTTGATTATAATAATAAATACTATATATAGTACCTAAGTGTTATTATCAATGGTAATACACAGTACTTAGTCGTCTTAGTCAGTACAAAACACGATCAATAAAACTATAACGAATTTTGTAGAGATTTTAAATGAAAAAAGGTAAATAGTTTTATTTTGTTATCGTTCACCGTGGTGTTGGTGTTCTTTGTTTATTATTTATAAAATTGTAACATATTTGGTTTTCGGGGTCCCAAGTAACATATTAAGCGCAAATAAAGACGCCTCTTTACTTTTAAAAAAACTACGGCTCCTGGGAGCAATTTCCTCCTTTGCCGGCTCTGCTGTAATCAGTGTAATCAAATTCGTGAACTTAGGTTTAAATCAACCACCTTGAATGACTGAACGTTGAGTTTCAAATCTGAACGATAAAAGCAGCGCTATCAACCGGCTCAATTATAAATTTTAGTGAACAGAAATGGCGAATTATCGCTCACTCTTATCACTAGATGACGTTGCAGTTGATGTAATTTTTTAGTTTTTTAAGAAACTGGTGAAAGTTTAAATGATCCCAAGTATAGATTATATTATTCTAATGTAATACAAAAATCTGTAATCCAAAACCAAAGCTTTAGTAAATATTTTAAATTTGAATAGCAAACAATAATTATTTGATTAGATATTTGCACAAATTTAGCTAGCAAAACTAAATGATAAAATTAGATTATTTCAAATAACTTTTTAAAATTTGAAACCATTGAATCATGTTAACTAAAATATGCATCATTTGTCATTAATGATGATTCAACTTAGTACCATCTTTAAAACACAACAAAAATATATTCAATATTTTTCAAATTTTTGCTAGCATATTTTTTTTTTGTTATATTATTGGAATTCCCACATTTCAATATATTTTTTTTTTTTGTTCTTGTGATCATAACACTATTAGAGTGGGGGATTGATCCGAAATTTCATGGTTGAAAATTAATATTTATTCAATCTACTTATAACTAATAAACTATTGTATTGACTGGACTGTGATTGATGAGAAATTTGTCAAAATGCAACTATTTTATTTTACCTGAATATGAAATATAATTATAATTAAGTAACCTAAATCTTAACATAACACTATTTTTTAAATATTAAGTAGAATTAAAATAAGTTATTTAATTACGTGTATTAAACACGTTTTAAGATTTGAATAATAAGATCGACTTCACTAGTAATTCATTTTTGATAAGATACAAAGGGCATCAAAGCAAGCAGATAAATAGCTAACTAGAACTTAATATAAAATTACAATAAAAATTATAATACATTTTCTATTGAGTATTTTTTTTAATAAACCTAACAAAAAACTTAGTAAAATAATATGAAAGAATAAAATAGTAGTTAAAATTTTATGTTTATTTATTGTTTTAAAATATATTTACAACAAAATATAATAATTAATTTAAAATAACTGCATATATAAGTTATTTATAAATATAGTAAATGACTTGTAATTTGTCGAAGAAATAATAAACTAAAAAATAAAAATAAACCACGAGTCTGAATAGTATATTATTCACATAATTAACTGGACCAGAACTAATTATCCTATTAGAATTGAATACTGATAAAATTTTGGTAAAATTACTCAACCTTATGCACAAATTGTATCCTGTAAAAAAAAAAAAAAATTATACAATAAATAATTTATATATACTAAATATTAGAAATTAAAAGGCTCAAAATTTTAATAGGTATAATTATTGGATTTTTTAAAATATCTGACATAATATAATTTTGTATATTTGTGACTTAAAAATTGTAATATCCTATTGCATATTTAACTAAAATTTAGTTAATGTTTATTACTAACTATTAAAAATTACTATGATAAATTAGTAATTACTGTTAAGTACTTAGTAATAAGGAGAATCTATATAATTTTACTGTTTAATGAAATTCTTACCTATTAAAAAAATATAAATGCCTTAGTCCATGTGTATGATTAAAAGATATTCTCCTTAAATTTATTATGTTAAATCAATAATGAAGTTGGACCGTCATCTTGTATTTAATACTAAAAAAAAAAAAACAACCTATGAATAAAATTATTTAAATATGCACATATACTTTATAGATTACACTTACTTATAAATAGTATTTGCAATAAATCACTATGAAATGTATACCCATTTTGAATGATCCTTGAATGAAGACTCATATTTTACAATTAAATGTACATTTTTTTTTACATGTCAATGCAAATTCAATGATCATATTAATATGAATTGAGTAATTAAATATAAGAAAAAATTATTTAGACTAAATGTTTTGTATGTTCAAATTACACACAAAAAATGTATAGTTAATTGATATGAATTTTCCAGTTGGTCCTTTTTAAAATTGATCCACATTGAATTGGTGTCTGCTATACTTCTTCCATAATACACAGGTAGGATTTTCACAAAATTCAGCAACAGAGCACCTACTTACCTAACTCAAGATTTGGCACAAGTGACTGCATATATTCATTGAGCAAGTATTTTTTTTCTCAGTTGCAAGTAAATTGAATTTTCATGGAGTATTTGGGACATCTGTTACTTACTCGTGATTCATACTTTAACAATCGGGTGTAAATACAAAAAATATCTGTGATTTCTTCATAACATTTTGTAGCCATCAGAATAATAAAGGCCAGACACAATCGACAATACAAAAAAAAAAAAAAAAAAATAGAGAGAGAGATGGACGTAGAAAACGAAGCTGAATTGCCCAAAAATATGGTTAACATTTTTTTGCACAAAGTGGTCCATTGGAATAAATTGTGTTGAAAAACATATGTTAGTCTCCATGACTGACATACCTAACTTATTTTTGATTCATAAAATAATTTTATAGATGTAGTTAGATATATATATAGAAGTAGAATTTTAATTTGTGGCCCATCGTGGTTTTTTTCTATGACGACAAATCAACGAAGACTTTCATATATTAGTTATATATACATATACATATGTGATTATGTAGACACGAGAACGAAACCATCTGAAAGTCAAGCTTCGGTCGAACCGCAGCTTGCTTTGCAGTCGATGTTTTCGTTATTGGAAGTAAATACAGCGCCTGCAGCCTTAAGAAAAGCCAAACAATCCTCACGCTTATCGAATGCCATTTGATCTTGAATAGTCGAGATTGGAATAGTCGGACGGTAACTGTTATATCATAATAAAATTGTCTTTAAAAATAATTATTCACTAAAGAATGAAATATTAATCTAAATACATACATATATATAAATAAAACTAGAACTGAACTTGAATTGAATACATATTCTAATATGAACATGATTTCAAAACAAGGACATTTATAATTTTAATAGAATTATTAAAACAAAAACTTTAATCAAAATAATAAATAAACATTAGTTTTTGAAACTTAATTTATAAGTATTTAAATAAGCATAATTATCATTAATTGATAATAAATTATTTTAAGTAGTCTAAAAAAAACATATCACCATTATCTTGACTCAGAAAAAATAAAAAGTAAAAGTTATTCAAATGTTTAATTGAAATAACAATGTACTGATAAAAACATAAAAAATTAATACCTGTACAAATTATGTAATACCCTGAAAAATAATGTTATTATGAATGATAAATTGTTTGTATACATACGACTTGGCAATAGCCAAATAGAAGTTATTGCGTTCTCTAGCCAGAAACATATCCATTAAGTATGAAGCCATTTTAGGAGCTACTTTGTACAAAGAAAATAACTGAATATGGTTTCCTAACCACCACGCATCTTTGACTTTCAATGCAAAATCTACACTCTTGTCTTTAATTTTTGACTCTTTAATACACAATAAAACATTATTTAATTCTGCAAAATACAAATTATTTTCTTTAATTTACAACAGTTATAGTACAATAATTAATAAAATTGTAAACTATTACTTACCACATAAAGCTCTTGTGTATATACAATATAATATACTATAACAGAGAAATTCATTTCTATTTTTTTGAGCAGTAGAATTATCTTTTAATTCCTCATACAAATCACACAATTGAGTCTGACATTGATTGAATTCTCCCATATCGCTTTTTTCTAAAGCTATCCTAGCATGTGTTTCATATACTTCAACTGTAAATGGATCTCTAATACCTTGCACCTATATTCAATTATAATTTCCTGATAAGAAAAGAGCAAAAACAATAATGTTTAATTTCTTACTGTCAAGTCTTGTCTAATTGATTTTAATTGATCACATGCAAAAACATAGTCGTTATTACTCATCCATTTCGACTTAACATGTTGTAATGAATTTACCAAAACCCTTAGCGGTCTTACAGCTTCAGCATCTGGTGCCTATTAAATTTTTAATTATAGTTAATAAAAATGTATACTTTAAATATAATTAATAAAATAAATATAATAATTAAAAAATACAACTAACTGCAGTCAATCTTAAATATTTTTTTTCTAAATCAACACATGTTCCCACAATATGACAAGAGTCTATATGAAACTCTTCATCATCCATAGAAGATAACTTTTGAGTGTGATAATCATTTTTTATTATTTGACGAGACTTTTTTTTGGGGCTTCCCTGGGATGAAAAACGTGCAGCACGCTTAGTTAACAAATGTTTATCATAACTTGGTTTATTATTTATTGAACCATATTGTTGATAAATATGAGCATCTTCATTATATAATCTAAAAAAAAACCATTTAATGGGAATATACTATTAATATAAATCATTAATCTAATGAAATTAAAATAATACACAAATAATAATTTAATTGCTAATTTTAATCTTGAACAAACTATGATAAAATTAAAATAAGAAAAATAGTTGCTTACTTTTTATTCTTACTAGCATATTTACTTTTTTTGCTATTACTTTCATCACTATTGACATTAAGAGGAATAAAGTCATCACTATTTTGTCTTTTATTTTCGCGTAGTGGACTGTTTTTCTTTTTAATAACATCAGTATTAGATCTAATGAAAAAAAAAATAATACATACTTTAAATACTATTATAACTTATATTGACTCTGATACATATTCTTTAAAATATTATGTTTGTGAATAGACAATTGAAACACAATATAAATATTTCAAAAATACTTCAACAAATTTCACAAGTTTAAAACAAATTTGTAGAACTAAAAGATTAAAATACTTACTCATTAGAACTATTTGATGAAGGAGACAAACAAGATTTGAATTTTGAAGTAAAGTAGCAATTGACATAGTTGTTTGTAGATTTTTTGAATGCAATTTTGATGATTGAGTTTTTATTTTTACCATTTTCTGGGTTTTGGTTTATTGTAATATTTTCACTTAATAACCTTTAAACAGAAAACATATTTCAATTCACATAAATTATGTTATAACATAAAAAAAAAAATCAATTAACTTAATGAATTTGATTTTTTTAATTCATACAAAACAATTACCCATCAATTTTAGAATTTGTATTTAAAAAAATAAACAAATATAAAATCAAAATAACATAAAAATTTTTAGCTATAAAAATTTATGTAAAGAAATACATACATTGGCATTGGTTCTTTAGCCCAGTCTTTAATCCACAGTGACCCATCATGATTTGCATTGGTCAATTTTCCTTTTAAAATTATATCCATTCTATCTCTGTCTATTTTATTAACACATTTATCTTGACATCTTTTTATATAATCTCTAAAAAAAACAAAAAACTTAATATTATTTTAACTAAAATTTTTTTTTTTAATTACCTCAAACTAGATGGACAATTATCTGGCAAATCAAAGGTATTCTGCTTTTTTTGAATAGATTGAATTTCTTTAGATGGTATCGGTTGTTGTGGTGGTACTGGTTGTTGTGGTGGTATCGGTTGTTGAGGTGGTGGTGGTGGTTTGCTGGGAACTATAGGAGTAAATGAAAATAAAGAATTTGGTATAGTTTGTTTTGGAGTAGGAGGGGGTTGTGTAATAGGAACAGGAGGAACATAATTTATTATAGGATATACAGGTGGGGCAATTTGTGCAGATTGGTTAGCCATAGCTGCTTCCATTAAGTTACGTTGTTTTTTTCTCCATTTTTTTCTGCCATTTTTAGTTTGAGGCATGGGAGGTAAAGATGACATATTTGGTTGAGGTGCTAAAAACATAGTTGATAATTTAATTTAATAAAATAGTGTATTTTTTATTTATATGTGTAGACAAATAAATTTAAAATTAAATTTTTTTTTAAATAATTAAAAAAAAAAGCTCAAGAATGTTATGTAAATTATACTAATATAATAATTTGTTGGAAATTTAAAGTATATATAATTATTTGTTTTTAAATACAATTAAATGAGAAAATTATTTTTATTAAAAAATTTCTATTTTCCCAAATATTAAAATAAGTACCTACTTGGAATTTATTAATTTGACATTCTAAAATTAGATAAGAAATTATTTACTAAGTGGATTCAGTTTCCCATGAAAAAAGATGGGAATGCTTATTATCAAAGTATCTTTTTAAATATATTTTCTAACGCACACACAAAAAAAAATCTTCATCATTGTAAAAATAATACATGCATCTATTAGAATTAATAATATTGATATTACCACTATACCATAAGCATATTTTACTTATATGTATAGTTAGATAGGTAATTAAAAAATAACCATAGGTATATAGTATATTAGAACATGCCAATAAAATTATATGATATTTAATTTAGTGCATTCTAGATTTAATGCAAAACACAGTTTTGTCCCAGTGATATTGGTTATGATGCACTATGATTTGTAATGAATTGCTACTTTTGTATTAAATAGAACATACTTAATAAAGAATTTAAACATAGTGCTGCATATATACTTAGTTGCATAAATACATTTTTAAACAATTATATTACAACACATACAAAACTAATGAAATTTAAAATTAAGATTGTATGTTGTAAAAAACTAATAATAAATTTAACTAAAACTTACGTAGGGGTACATCACATATTCCAGGAACGGGTGGTGGAGAACCAGGTGGTAAAGGTGGAAGTTTATCTAAATCATCACTATCGAATTGAGGTGGAGGAGGTTGTGAAGGAGCTGGTCCATTTGGTAAAGGAGGAGAATTTTCCTGTGAAACAGTTGCAGTTTCTAATGTGCCTAAAAAAATATATATTTAATTATATTAAATATAAAAACTAATATTAGAATTAATACTTTACCTCCATGAACAAATGGTTTAAAATTAAAATTTAAAGATTGAGTGGGAAAACTTTGAAATCCTTGCTAAAAAATATAAACAAAATGATGTACTTATGCAAGAATAAGAATAAAAGGATAATAATGGTTTACAGTATAATTTAAGTCATACCTGATTATAGCATTGTGCAGCATAAAACGCATTCATATTATACATTTGAGGTCCCGTATAACTACAAAAAGAAAATTAAACATTAATATTTAATACATATATTATAATAAATAATTCACTTAATACTGTTGGTTTTACAGTTGTGATCATAGCTATTTAAAAACACCAATGTTTTTATATATTATCTGTGATAATGATAATTTTTTTTAATTTTAATTGATTTTTCTCATTTATTTTATGATAATTAGTAAGAATCAAAGTATTTTGTTAAGAGTATATTTTTGACCATTATTTTTTAATTTAAATCAATAAGTATTAATACATTAATGTTATTTATATTTCGATCATGAAATACTTACTTTCCATAAGACCAGTTCATGGGTTGAGGCCAGTTTGGATATTGATTACTAGAACCAGGAGTTCCTGGATTTTGATTTTGATCAGCCATAACTAGAATTAATATGATAAATTTAATTAACAATAAAATATTTATGTATAATGCACCTATAATTTAAATTGCAATTTTCGGTTATTGTACACCAGCGCAAATAACTGACCATTAAATTCGTTATCATAAACAGAATTATTTAGTACTGATTTATTTAATTACAAATATAAATTTGTCTATTAAAATATTAAATGTTTAAGATAATTAGCTAAGATTGAAATAGAAGACAATTTAAAATTAGATCTGTGTATGCCTGCTAATTTCTTTTATGTCAAAAACATACACAAAAGTATTAGCTATGTATTTCATTGCGTAATGAATGTAAGTACTAAATTCATGTCTTTTATTATAAATAGTTATTTCTAGGTACTTAAATGTTTTAAAATGTTTATGCATCATATTCATGACAAATTCCACAATGTACACTAAGTTGCAACAACCTCTACTCTTAATAATAAAATCATATTATACAATGGAGGCTGTCAGAAGAGCTTGGCAAACAGTTAGGCATATCCAAGACGTTCAGAAATAGGTCGTAACAATGTTCATCACTTTATAGCTTACTATTGTATTTTTTTTTATTTTAAGTACTTATAGATTCAAAAAATACAATATTATATACATCACATTTTAATTTCTGTGTTGATACATGAATCAATGAATTTTTACATAACAATAATATACATGTATAATAACTTGTCTATAATAATTTATAGTAAAATATGTACCTGTCTATAAAAAATATATTTAAACCTAAAAAAAAAGAAATAGGTAGTTCAGATTAGGAAAACAGAATCAAGAATTTTGTCACTAGTTAATTGGTTGTTAAAATATGCGTGCTGAAAAGAACAATTGTTTAATTTTTTTTCAATAGGTAATTAATAAAAAAAATCTTAGCAGTCTCTAATATATTTTTTTATTTCAGTCTTACAAATATTTGAGGGATAAAATAAATAATAGGTAGGTAGATCTGATACCTAAACCTAACTAGTGACCAAAAAAATATTCATTTATTATTTTAGTAAATATTTTTCAAATTACAAATTAATTTTTATGGAAATTCAAAATTCTATATGTACCTACTTAATAATAAAATATTTAAATAGCCATTAGAGAATCCATGATTAATTAAAGATGAACATTGTTTTATACCCATGAACGACAAAGGTACTTAAGTATTCTTTAATACTTTAGCAGAAATAATAAATGCACATTCACTAATATCCACAGAAACTAGATTCTAGATTATCATTAAGTAGGTCATTGACAAAATAAAAATGTTTTATTTTAAAATCTATAATTTTTCTCTGCTCATAATATATATATATATATACCTATATACATTCTGACAAGCGTTGAATGTTAAAACTAATATCACAGATTACTTAAAATATTTTAGAAAAATATGTACGAACCTTCGCTGCGGTAAAATATTTAATTTCGTAGGTAGGTGTATTAAAAAAAAAAAAAATCGAGTCGAGATTAAAAAAAAAACAACCAGAATGATATTCGGGTCGTTTATTAATCTTTGACAATGACAAACTAAATTAAAAACAAAAGTAGACAATGATAAAATATTAAGTGATGTTAAAATATCAAAGCGATTTATAACACAGCTAGTGTAATCAAATTATTTTCAATACCAATAAGTATTAGTAATAGAAATAATAAAGCGCACTGTAATGTTGTAATTTAACGAGGAGTAGAATAATGTTTTATGTTCACTGTTCACTAATCAATGAGTCAGATTTCAAGCAAACCAGAGGAGTGACAGGCACTGACGAGCACCCTATTGACGACACTCACTAAAACACAAAAAGTAAATACTAAATAGTAATAAGTAAAAGGCCAATAGAAATGGAAAAATTCCGACATTTTAATAATCACTCCTTACTCAATACAATCAACCAATGAACTTGGAGGCCGACTTGGCAACATTGCACAGCGGTATTGCCAACTATATTATGCGTTGTATCCATGAGCAACTTCTTTATCGTTGGTTAGGAACGCACGTGCAACCTCAAACCGGTATGATAACGTCGTGTTGCGTATGTCTCTTCAATCTTCAGTACTCAGTGTACTCACTACTCACTTCTCAAATGCTCAATACTCAATATTCAATACTCATAATTCACTTGACTATATTAATAGTATTTGTTGTCTTCGTGTCTTGTTAGTTATTACCTTAATACTAAATAGTAATTAGATGTACAATTTACCCTTCGTGACACCGTGTATTTATGTTTTTTTTAGTTTATATTTCAGTTAAAAAGAATACTGTACTTTGTCTAAACTATACTTGTAATCTATATTCTACTCAAGCACTAGGTAGACAGTTTCATAAATTTATAATTTTCCGATAATATTTCTTGTCACCTAGCTGCCTTAGCATCTATATGATTTATGATATAATAAGAACTAATACCGATTTATAATTAAATTTTTTATTTGTATTATAGAATAGGCCAATATTTAAAGACCACCAAAATGTTGCGCTGCACAAGATTCTTAAGTAATTTAGAAAAGATTAATGTTGATTACCCGGAAGATAAAATTTTCCAAATAAATAATGAATTTCTAAGAGTAAGTTTCAATTTTTAGATGGAATTATAGTATATAGCTATGCATTTAAAAAACATTCTTCATTTAACTATTAAAAATAAATTAAATCCCCATTTAAACATTTATTTACATTTTAGTATTATCTATTTGGCTACTTATATAAATATTAACTGTATAATGGAATACATTTAATATTGTTTTATTTAATCTGTATTTCCAACAATAGATGTCCTTAACTTAATTTGTAGTTAAATTATTTTTCATTACTTATTTTATTTCATTGTAATTATTTTATGTTTATTAGTACCTAGATAAGTAAATAAAAAATAAAAATATGGTGTTAATATTGACAAGTTTTAATTACGTTAATTATTTCAGGTAGTAGAAGAAATATGTGATGGATTACTTAATGTGGAGATTGTATATACCTGTTTGACTTTAGATTCACATATGTGTCACATTATAAAATATTTATCTTCAATAATAAAACATTTTCAAAATGTTGATATTACTGAACCTGTAAGTTGAAAATGTTTAAATATCTAATACTTTTACATATAACATGAACATGTACATTTATAATTTATTAGTAATATATATTTTTAATTTTTTTAATTTTACAAGTATTTTAGTGCATATATTTTAAATATTCAGATTTTTCAACTTTCTTTTCACAACAGTATAGTATGTCATGCCAATACAGTAAACTTAATAGTTAATACAGTTCAAATCTTAGCCAGTGTGACATCTGTTTATTGAAATAAATAAATAATTTATTGAAACACTAAACCTATCAGCATTTTAATCTTTTTGTATAAATAAAATGATCTGATTACTGTTTTGAAATTTCTTTGTTTAATTGTATTACTTTAAAAAATATTTTAAAATAATAAAAGTTTGATAGACTGAGTTTATTTAAAATTTTAATACAACAAGAGTTGAATATATCCTTTTAGTGATCTATTTTAAATGATTGATGTTTTATCTATTAATATCTTCACCTAAGAATTATTATTTCTTTAGATCTATGTTTTGGACACTATTACTAAATTGTATGCCTTCTGATTTTTATTAAATAAAGTTGCTAAGAGCTTTAGCAGATTTTTCATAAAAGTATTATACTGTTTAATTAGATTTATTTCAGAATTTATAATAGAAATAACTACTATTTAGTTTGGTTTTTCACATTTTACATTAAGTTCATGAAACTCAAGATATTAATTAATTTTTGTTTATTATTATGTGTTTAAACTGAAACAATATTTTACTGTAATACTTAATGTACAAACAATATTCACTATTTTTAGCTTTGATATTATATTTGTAATTATATATATATATGTATGTATATTATTAATTATACTCTTGCCCTTTGGGATGTAATTTTATAACAGTAAGAATAATATTATTTTCTAGCTTGATGTCATAAATTTCACTCTATTTATGAAATTAAGTCGACTTACTACTAAGTTTAAAACTTTAGTAATATCAGAATTAATTGATGACAATTTCATAATAAAAAATGATGATCATTTGTTTAATTATGAAAAGGAAGAATGTATTTGCAATACTTATAAATCAAAACTAAAATACTTTAAAACTAATTCTGATAATTCAGAAATTTACATGATTAATGAGCATTTTGTAAGTAATCAAAAATTGTATATCCTTAAAAATAAAAATATTACGTGTTCTTGTTTATAATATTTTATTTTATTTGTTTTCAGACTAATTTTCTAATTGAATATGTGAGATTGCTATCAAAACTAAAAACTAAAGATATTCCACTAGAAAAAAATATTAAACTCCTATTAGATGTTGCTAGTGACGAGATTTTAGCAAAAAATTTTCATTTTATTTCAGATATTCTTCCTCAAACAACAAAATTAATTATTTTGCAAAAAATTACAAATTGTATTATCAAACCTGAATTTAATTTACAAGATTGTGAATTTCTACAGTCTAAAAATAAAGATTACAAGTAAAAGTTTTAATGTTGCTATTGATTATTATTGTTTATGTATAATATATTTATTCTGATTCATTCTTATTTAGTTTTAGCTATAGCCAATTAAACAGTTATTGACCAAAGAATCTCAAACAGCATAGCTTTTTTTTTTTACAATTCATTTTTTATTAATTATAAGAGTATAGTATTATTAAATTAGATAAAATCATAAGATTAAAAAATTAAAATAGTGTAATTATTATATTGTTTAATTAAAATTGTTTATAGTTATAGTTTGTTCAATTAATTTATAAATATAAATTAAATATTAAAAATATACTCTTACAAAGAGCTAATAGAATAAAAGCATCAAAATGTTCACTGTCTCTAGGCATTTTAAGTCTTAATCCATGTCTATCATTTGTATGTTGAAATATTTTCATTTCTAAACTTAAAATGTACTGAAAGTAGTATTCGTGTTTTCATATCTTAAATACTAAAATGTATGACTACTATATGTTTAATTTAAAATTTGTAAGAATCTTTTCTTAAAATATCTTTTAATACAATACCTAATATTAAAAGACAATGTATTACATTTATTTCTTTACAGGTTAGAAATATGTGCTGTAATATTTTTTTACACTTCAGAATATTTGTGAACATTTAGAAAATGAAAATATCAATCAATCATCACTAATTTTATCCAAGTTTAATGTCGAAAGTGTTATTTCTTTAATTGATTCATCTCCTGATCTTTTTTTTTGAAAGTACTTTTGAAGAATCAACTAAACTTATTACTTTTAAAAAATACAAAAAAGTTAAAGAAATACCTTCAGAAAAAATCAAAAAGTATGTAATTCTATTTATTTTATAATAATTATTTGTAATACATTAGTGGGTTACTTGCTGCGGGTTTGCTCACAAAATTTTATTAGGTATATAATGAAAAATAATAATTTTATTTTAAAACTTATCTATAAACTACATTTGATACATTTTTATTTGGTGCCAAAATTTATAAACTCGTAGGCGTACTGATTAGAGCACGCCACTTAGAATTGTCCATGTTGAAGAAAGCTTAAAAAATGTAAGCTAGAGGCTCACGGCTTATAGTTGCTTACTACTCATCGATGTAATAGGTGTACATTTTTTAAAATCTTTACTTAGTGCATAGTGAAATTATAATGTTAATCTGTGCTCTGAAGTAGTGTATTGCATATTCATCTACATCAAGTTGACCCATTCCTAACCATCTTATCTCCTGTATAGTTACAGCATCTATCCTTTTCATATTTAAAACGTCTGTTAAATTTTGCCATGCGTCAGTTTTAAAAAGGCTTGTTACATTCCTAGTCGCTATCCTTAATTCTGCATTTTGTATCTTTTTCAGTCTTGTATCCATGATCTCTTGTCTGGAGCTTTGATATTTATGTTATCATAATAATAGGCTTTTGCTAAGTAAAATTGTTAATCCTATACCAAACCCCCAATCTAGAGGACCAGATCCCCAGCCAACAAAGGTCAGGGGGTAGCTATTGCAGCAACTTGTGCTGGTCAGTGGGTATGCCACTTTCCTCATGCCATAAATAATATAAATACTTAAAAAAAGTTAAAAGTTTTTAAAATTTAAAAAAATAATCAATTTAATTAGAATCTACTATAACATAAAAATTTCAGTTTCTTCCAATTTAAAAGACAAATAAAAAGTACTGCAAATTTTGAATTTTAATCTCTCTAAAGTATAAACTAGATCCAATTTTCTATACAAAACCTTCCTCAAAGTTGATAATTTATGTATTTTATCAACAATTACCATATATTAATTTACATTCACAAAGAAAACATTCCATTATAAAATCAACGAATTAATTGCTGCACTCAGAATCTAAAATAATGATTGGTCTAATTGATGTCACTAATACGTTCTGTATTTTCACTAATAGCTACAAAATTTAAATTAGTTTAAATTTTTAATATTATTTTTATTAATTTTAATGTTTTTTTTTTTTTTTTTAAATTGTAGGTGTTTACAAATTTTAGAATTATTAAACATTTCATTAAGATGTCATCAAGTACAAATTAAGAATAGTCCATTTTCATTAGTACTGCTATCCATTCTTTCAGAGTTTGTTATGGCTACTAGTCTTGATAATTTCAGTATCATAAAATTGATTACAATAATTATTGGTGACCATATTTAAAATAGTTTCAGCATTTTATTATTTTTATTTTAATTATTTTAATCTTTAGGGTTTTTAAAAATTTGTGGACTTCCTATGCATTTTTCTGCGGTATCTTTTGCGTTCAATATTTATCAGAAATTGAAATCTGACGATGAGCTGGAACCTAAATTAGTAAACTTGTTTAAAAGTATATCAATCAGGTTAAACAAAGATAGCTTACAAAAACAATATATTACAAAGGATTTAGAAAAAATCATACATGGTGAAAACAATTGGGTAGATACAGCAATTATAGTATCATGCTTTTTGGGTGATCTTCCCGTAAGTTTTACAACATATTTTGTACTAATTATATTTCTTTAGCTTCTCTTTAATTATTTGTATTATCTGAAATAATACATCTTTTCAGTTAGATAATATTTTTTGTTATTAATATAAACTTATTTAAAAACTACTTTTAAATTGTTTTTAAAACTTAAGAATATATTTTAAATTTGTTTTACAATTTAGTACTTGATGTATATTTAATTTAATAAATTATTAATAACAAAATTCTTATATTTTAGGAAACAAGATTGATTTCAGATAAGTGTTTAATTGATATTTATAATGATCTTAATGAATATGTTATACTTTCTTCCAACTATATGTGTTCACAAAATCATCTATTAATTTACCCTTACTGTATATCGTTGAATTTTTCAATAATAAACCAAAAGGATGATTGTTTATTCAATAATCTAGCTGTACTTGATGACTACATTACTATTTTAGTATGAATATTTTAAGTACTTTAATTATTATTGTATATATAATGATATTCTACATGTATTATTATCTTATTTATTTTTAGTTCAATGAAAATGTAAAAGTGCAATTAGAAGATAAAAAATTTTTTTTAAGTACCATTTTTAAACATTATGATGTAATTGCTCACTGTATACCAAAAGAGTTCTTATTAAAATGTTGGGAATATATATTGAACCCTATGAACATGGATGATAAAATTTCTAAAAAGTTATTGGATCTGTGTTCTTCTAATGACTTAATAAAGTTTATAAGTATTTTGAAAACTGAAACAGTAAGCTATTATTAGATAATTAATAATTATTAATGATGATGCTTACATCTTTTATTGGCCTAAAAAAAAATATGTTAATTTGTATATCTATTTTTTATTAGAAGTTCAAAACATTCTATTATTTTAAATACTGTGTTTATAACGAAGAAAAATATTTTTTTTAATTATCATAGATTATACATTATCTAAATTATTTAATACATATCAATTAATATTATTGTACCTATTTTATAATTATTAACTTTTTATTAGATTAAACTCATTGAAGGAAATGAACCAGCTATAAATCAAGATTATTATGAATATATACATGAATTATGGTCTTTTTTACTGAACATTCAATTATTTAATCAAAAGAAAAAAATTCGCAAGGATAATATAAATCATTTTTGTTTTGTTTTAAATCGAACTTTCTTATTTAATACGAAAAAGATTCAAACAGAACAAGGTTTGATTTTATTATTAAAATTAGTTTGTGCGTTACTTCAAGTACCATGGGTAAGATTAATTAATTATTCTATTAATACACACTAAATTAGTTTATATGTGCATATATTACTTATTCAAAGTTAAACTAACACATTTTTGTTTGATATCTTTATCATATTATAAACTTTGGTTTTTGCATACATCTTATAAGAGTAACAAATTATTTAACACTAAATTTATAAAAAATAAATTTTTTATATCTTGAAATATTTTCTAAAAAAAAAATACTATTATACTTTAATCTTGGCCTAACCTTTATAACTTTCACAAATTTTTATTCATAACAATAAAACAAAATAATAATTTTTTTCTTTTATGATTAAATGAATTTGTATTACATATTCTAATCATTACTAAAAGTTTTTCAACTTTAAATAATTAATTATATTTTCAAAAAAATAAATAAGTCTTATTCATTTAAAATTAAATAATTAAACTAAAGAAAATTGATGTTTATTGATTAGGTATTTTTCAAAATTTTAAGAAAATAAAAGCATAAATATAGAGCAATAAAAATGTATAATATAAAAGGCTTATATTATAAGGAGAATATTTATATATTTTTATGGAAAATATTAGCATCATATTTTAACTTTTATTAACTTTTAAATTAAATCAAGAATTAATGTTTTTAAACAAAAATATAGATAAAAACCATTTTTCTTATAAATAATAGTAATTGTAATTTGTGATAAAAACTCATTATGATATGAATATTAAGTTTAATTTTACATTTTCATAATTGATTAACCAACTTTAATATTTACCAAGAGCCCTAGTTCATATTGTTAGTCCTATTAAACTTAATTTTTCTATATTTATTTATTTATTTTAAAACAAAGTAAGTATTCTTATATATTGTACTATATCAAACATTGTTAGTTGACTTGCTTATAATATCCAAAATTTTTATATATTAAGTGTAATCATGATTTTCCAAAAATATGTAACCAGTGGCTTATTTACGGGGGAAGGAGGAGTCCTGGGTTCAAACCTCCATAGAACAAAAAAAAAACATGTATCTATGCACCAACGCATCATAGAAGTTATTAATTAAAGTATTATTTATAAATTATAAGAAATTATCTAACCAGTATGTGTGTACAGAGTTTTCAATAAACAAATTATAAAAATTTCCACAATCTACAAAAACTAATAGTAGAGCGTTGGTGACCAATGTTGACACGTAGTCGACCTGGTAGAAATTTGTTGCGGCGACACGTGCGGTAATGTTTGTATATATTAATTTTATCTCTCTATTTATTGTTTCAAAGTAAGCTTTATCATATGATTTTTAAAAATTTAACCCCCCCCCCCCCTCAAAAAAAAAATGAAAATACGCCACTGTATGTAACCAATGGTTTTTATATATAAAAAAAAAATGTGTATTTAACTTTTAGGTTTTTTTTAGTAAATTATTTTATGTTATAGTTAACATTGATCTCTATTTATTTATACAATATTTTATGTTCAATATAGATAAACAAAACTACAATGATGAATTGTTCATTGAGAATAATGACTTTTGTTGAAAAAAGTAAAAGCAAAGCAGCACAATTACTTATAGAAGCTTCTGAACTATTAATAGTCCTTTATAAATGTCCAAATAATTCTATAAAACCTTATTTAGGACTATATGCCACTACATTTGCTAATTTTTTAAAAAAGTGTTTATCATCTGTATGTCAAATATCTACTGACACTTCTCTATTTGATAAAAATTATTATATACCATTTCACAAACTTGAAAAGTAATAAATACATAATACATTTAATCTATATTAATTAATTAAATTTCTATTATTTATTTTATTATTCAGGTGTTCAAGTTTATTCAAACAAAATAAAAGTGATTTTGATATTATATGTCGTTATATTATAGAAGATTTAATTGAACTTGTTTCAGTAGAAATTAATTTTGTTGGAGTAATTATGGTAAGTTAATGGATGTTTGCTGAAAATCAATTATTTATAAATTAAAATTTTACAGAAACATTATTTTAATGTAATTTTCAATATGATGGATGTATGTTCACCTGACGAAATGAAGAAGTTAATGTTGAATATTCAAGGACCCTCTTTGCTGATGTTAACAAATGCATACAAAGAATACAGATCAAATGTTAGATTTACTGGAAGACTTTAAATTGTTAGTTGTTTAATCTTTTAAATTTAAAGTTCTTTTATCATTAAAGTGTTCGGTGAATATTATTATGTATATGTCCAACTAATAAAATACCTTTTAATATATACTTTATACTTTAAATTTATTGAAAATGGTACTGTATTTTTTATTACAACGTTAGTATTATAATATTGCATAGTTTTAATAAACTTAATGTAATATTACATTAATTTTTTAAAAACAAATTTAATTAAAATTTATATCAACTACAAAATTGTGGCAATGATATGGATATATGTAAATATTTAATTCTGATAAAAAAAATTAATATTTTTAACTGAATAAAATAATTTTGGTATATTAATACATTAAATTAATTTAATAGTTGAACTCAGAAATAAAAAATAAAAATAACATTTGAATTATAAAGTCGGATATTTATTGATGATAATTATTATTGTATTGAAAGCTGTAGGATAAGTTATTTTTAAATACTTTTTAAGAATTAATTGTGTTTTATAATTTATTGTACTTTCTATCTACCTCTTTTTTTTTTAGCAATACTTTTTAGTTTTTCTTAATTTATAGGTATTTTCATACATATACTCGTCTCTTACATTATTCCAAGGATTATTTTAGTTTTGCAATAACTTCTATATTCTTATAATATATTGATAATACTAATATTTTCAAACTAATTGTATCATTTTTATTTTCATTGATGGTTTTGTCATAAAATATATTGTAGTATTTAATATATTTTTGTATTCCAAGTATATTTATTAATTTTTTAAACAAATATTAGATAGTTATTAGATTAAAGCAATTTTGAATTTCTGAATTTTCTAAATAATTCATTCTTTGTTTAATGTATTACATTTTTTATAATATTATCCACTCTCAAATAATTAACCATTAATTCCCGTCCTTTCTTTATTTCTTTTCTTGTTTTATATATATTTTTTTAAGTTATTTCATCCTCTGTGCATTAATATACACTTTGTTTTAATATAAATTGTACCTTATTCAAAACTTCAATAATCAAAATTTAAAATTATACTTACCTTAGTATTGTTAAATATTTTAATGCTTTAATTATATTAATTTTATTTTATGTTAAATGTTAAATATGTAAATTGTACTTTTTAAATCCAATTTAATTTTTTTTAATTAATGCAATTATAGAATATATTATAACTTAAAATCCTAATCCAGTAATTTTGGTTATAATTTTACTTAAACATTGAAAAACTTCATTTTATTAAATAATAAATGTTATTTTATGATATTTTATGTAAAATATCACTACTAAGAATACAATCAATGGCAGATTTATCATTGTCTATCAACCAGTAGTGAATCTTAATAGTTAATATTAATATAATATTTTTAAAAACCGAAAATATCTAGTTTTTTACTCCTATTGATTGTTTTAAATAATTAGTTGTTAATTTTACTACAGTCAGAACAACCACATTTAATTAATACTTTCTATTAAAAAAAATTGTATTTTCACTCTAAAGTATTCAAGACTTAATGTATCTTAAAATCATGCAATTATAAATGTGACTCTGTGTCCTTAGACTATCATAGATCACAGCTACCACTGAATTAAACAAATATGCCTACAATATTATTTATTATTTATAGTTCAAACCTGCATAGTTCAATTTAATAATTAATTTTTTTTTAATCTGTTTTGTGACTTAATTATATACTTAAAATGTATGGGTTCAAATCACATTATAGGTTTAATCTATTCTTATACTCAATATTTAATGGAGATTGAAATTTAGAGTATGAACGATGTGCTTATTAAATGTTAATTATTTAAAAATTGCTCAAATCATAAATGGATTGTAGATAACCACAATCACCTTTATTATATATGTTATCAAATATTTATGATAGTATGAACTGAAGTGATATCAATAAAGATAACATATTAACATTAAATATAATTTTGCAAATATGTACACATCATTGAAAATGTATTATATATTATTTTCTTCTTAGTAACTTATTTGTTAATTTATAATGATTTTTATTATTTATATGTTGCATTTCATTATATTAAACTAGATAGAATGTCCCATAAAATCACCTTTTAACAGATAGATATTAAGCAACAAAATATGAGTTGGTTTAATCAGTTTGATGCGTCTGGGTTTGCAAGTCTTGCAAAGACAGCTCTTAAAGAAGCGCAAAAGACTATTGATAAGGCTTTGGACATCAAAGATGAAGATGAGAATGATGAAGTATCTCAAGACCATGAGTCTGAAACTCCAAGAGACAAAGATAATCAAGATTCTCAACAAAAGGTTTCTAAATTAAGTTCAAGTTTGTGGAGTTCATTTACCAACTCAGTATTTGAAAATGAAAATGATATGGCTGATAAACAAAGTGGTGTGCATATAATATACTAATAAGTATTATTATTAATCAGTTATGAGTATTAAGTAAATAATAAATTTGTTCGTTGATATTTTAAATGAGATACCTTCATGCTTTCTAAGATATCTATGTTACTTTATACATTAAATAGTTATTAATATTATAATTATGTAGCTGTAATATTCATAAATTATTTTAAAATGTGTATGTGAAATGTATATTTTTTATATAAATGTTTTTAAATTTTTCAATATTGTAGAAATGAGGCAAAGCATGTCGTTAGATTTATCTAAATCATCTACAGAAAACGATTTGATTGTGGAAAATCAGCCAGCTAGATCTACAGGACAATCATCCGCTACAAAAGATGAACAGTTTAATGTCATTGAAATTGATTCAGAATCAAATAATGATGTTGTTCGTAGAACAAGAAGTACAAGTTTCAACAATTCTAATCGTCTTTCTGCTGTCAGTTGTGATAGTGATCGTAAATCTACAATATCTTCTGATAGTGTTGAAATACTTGGATCAACATCGACTACTACACCTGAGTCGTCATCTGTAGAAATCATAACATCGAGTTCAGTTGAAGTTTTGGCTGTTATTACTGAACCAAATAGGTTAATATTTTATTATTTTTTGGAATAAATTGTGTCAAAAAGAAAACCTATTAAATCAATTTGGCTGATAAACCCTACTGTTCTTTCAATAACTAGATGTTTAGCTCCCAAAATATACTTTTCAGCATTCGTACATTTTAAATTTAGATAAATTTTATGATTAAATGATTATTTAAATTTTTCAATATAGCACAATAGGTAGCTAATGAAACATGAAATAATAATCTAAATAATAGTTAAAAAATATGTAAAGACATATCTTAAAAAATGTTGTAACTTTAATAATTAAATTGTCTTTGACACATTTTACATAGTCAAGTCTATTTAATTATTATTTTTTTAGAAAAATATGTTTTTGAATTATGAGTATCATATTATCTTTATATAACCTATTAAAATATATAGTGAATATCTATCAAATTATAGTAATAGACTGTAATTCAAATTGTTTAAATATAATAGGCTCATATTTCAGCCAATAAAAGAAATGAATTTGAATGAAAATGTAAAAACTTTTTATGTTGATAATTTTTACTTTTTTTTTAGTTGCTTTAAAAGTAATTTAACACATTTATTATTATAATTACTATAATTTTTAGGACAAGCGATAGACAATATTCACCTGATACAATAGAACCAATTCCAGAATTAATCGAGGATGATGATAGTCTTACTTGCTCAATATCAGATAATGTAACATGTATGACTAGTGAAGATACTTTGATACCACATCATGGAGGAATGTTACTACTAAAATCCACTACCTCATCATTAGATACTTCTTTTACTGAATTATCATCACCTCATGAGGTAAATATCTAGAAATAAAATAATAAAACATAAATATTTTAAATTCTGAATAAGGCTGATGAATGTATTGATTTTACGATGTTATATGTTCTTTTTTTTAAGTTTAAATTTTGGTAAATTGGATATTTTTGTTATACCTCAAAAAATATTAACCATAGAAACTTTAAACATTCAACTGTAATTTTAAACTATTTATGGGCATTTAAAAATTTCTAATGATTTTAGTATTGATAAAATGTATTAGGTTTGGTTAAAAAGCTTATAAATTTAAAATAAGATAATGAAATAAATTATTTTTTTAACTATATACAAATATTTATAAAACATTTATGGGATTGTTTTTATAAACATTCGAGATATAATTTTAACAAAGTTCATTTTAAATCATGAAAATTTGATAATATTTTGGTTGTTAAAGTTTACATGTTTAATTTGTAAAGCTAAGGCTTGAAAAATAGTTCAAAGTTTCTCATAAGTAATTTTTACTAAACTCCAAAATTTTAAAAATGTATAGGCACAATTTTTTTTATAAATATTTGAATTTCAAGTATGAACAAAATAAGGTATTTAAAAGAAGAATTAAGAACTGTATTGTAGTGATTTAAAAATGTTATTTTTGAGTTCTTAAAACTTTTACACATATTACTATATTATTTATGCACAATTTCATTTTCAAATATTTAAGTATTTTAATTAATTTTAAGCTATTACTTATTAATATCATAAATTATTTATATAATATTGTTCTATGGTAAGTCCTTATTAACTTAAAAGTTAATAAAATAATTAATGCAATATTTTTGACAAAAATAACTTCAATATACTATACTATGTAAAGTAAATTAGTGTAATAGCCAATATAAATATATCATAGAATTTACTTTGTAATTTAGGTTGATAAATTTTAATTATAGTTTTTGTTTAAAGCCATTTTTTATTTTTTTATTAAATGATTTATTATTAAATTCAAATTTAACATATACATTACAATGACAAGGAACATTTAACACTTTCTGAATAATAAAGTTGTTACCTATTTCCCTTCTTTTTAATAATATGATAAAGTCTTATTTTTTTTTTTTTAGAATTCTGGAGCATTAGATATACTAGAAGAAGAGTCTATTGAACCAAATTCTAATAGAAATAGTGTTATACTTCAAACTAATTACATAGAACCTTTAGACAATTTAAAGAATGTCCAAAATAGTATGAATATTACAAATACATTAGACACCAGTAACTCGTCAATAGATTTGTTAAAGGTATCTGACACTACTTTAGAAA